TGAAACGGAAGACCCCAGGCCTCATTAACAAATACACAAAAAGAAGTATATTTAAAATGCTCCTAATTTTTTCTTAGTTGAAGTTCCTATATTCTCTTAGTTGAAAACAGAATACAATACACCTAACCTTAGGAACTGCGTCAGCAGCAACCAACTTCCCAACAGCAATGATTACCAATTTGCATAGGTGAGGGGTAGTTTTGGCCCTTTTCTGTTGAAACAGTTAAACTTAGCCATAGGGCTTTAATGGCAATCTAACAAGAAAGTATAGATCAGGACTACATGGCATCTCAATTCTAATTCAAATTTCTTTAATAAATAAAAGTGCTATGATACGAAGCATGATACTAAAAATTAATTGTTCTAGATGCAGGCTTTTTTTGAAACTGGTTTAAATATAATACTGTTAAGAGCCATACAATATTCCTCCATACAACAGTAAGATGTGAGCTAGAACTGCCACGAATTGAAAGAAAACAATGAATGGGAGAGCAAAAACCACCTGGAATATGTAGTTGGCGTTAACAAAGTTTCCAGAACTTTTGAAGAATGGATTCATCTGGAGAGTACCCCAAAGCTTCTAGCTCTGTGGATGCAAGGGTTGCTTTCCTGAAACAGCCACCATTGTTCTGAAAAAACAACACAAACCTAGACCAAGAAAAAAAACAACAAACTCAATTAACCAAAAGAGAAAATAGAAGGCACTGACAGGAGATAGGTGGAACATAGATGTTTGGAAAAATGGATACCCTACATGCAAGTTGACTTGCACGAAGACCTTCCAGAGATTTATTAGTCAGGAAGGACTTAAGTATTTCAAATAAGGACTGTGCCATAGTTTATGATAAGAGTGTAGGCATCAGTAAACATGCAGACGCATGTTAAGAAGAAGAAATGCAATAACCTAAACAAGTAAATTAAAGCAGTTGTGGTGGCAAGACTACGAAAAAGAATTATTCAAACTACAATATACCCACCTCGTCATCAATACTTCTGAAGTTTTTGAGAGTCTCTGCAAGATCTTTATGCAAACTTTCAATGGAAATTTGCCTTGACAATTGAAGTTCATACAACCTGTTCAAGTCAACAAGCAGTGAGTATTCATCATCACCATCACCATCCTGCAACGACAACAATTGCACATTTGACCAAGCTGCATCAATAGAACACAGTCACCTTCAATTTGTTAAGGGCACATACAGCAACTTCTATTATAGCAGATTTAAGTTTGATAATGAGCTCATCTTCAATCCCCTTTGATTTGTTAAGGACGAAGTCCTGTAACTCCCCACGACTCTCAGTAGCACAGAAGTTCAATGCTTTTACACAAGATTCTACGAGCTTCCTTCTCACCATTCTGAAAAAATGCCTCTTTCACCAGAAGGACAGAAGATTTAAAATCCTGGAAAAGCAAAAGAAAACAGATTTTAGTTACCAGTTCAAAAAAATTTATTTCATATTGGCAATCCCCTATACAGTTCATAATCGTAATAAGTTCCACAAATGCACCTGAAGGAAGACTTGGCAGACATCTGTGGGAGCATTTAATGAAATTCTCCATCTTAAATACTACACTTCTCCATACTGCACTAATGCCTATTTCTGGAACAATGATACGTTGACAATGAGCTCATCTTCAATCCCCTTCAATTTGTTGAGGGTGTAGTCCTGTAACTCCCAACAAATCTCAGTAGCCCAGAAGTTCAAAGCTTTTATACAAGATCTCAGAGCTTCCCTCTCACCATGCTTAAAAAATGCCTCGTTCATCAGAAAGACAGCAAATTTAAAAATCTGGAAAAGCAAAAGAAAACAGCTTTGAGTTACCAGTTCAAAAAAAATAATTACTTCATATTAGCAATCCCATATATAGTTCATGATAGTAATAGGTTTCACAAATGCACTTAATCTTGTCTTTTAAGAGAATAGAGCTCTAGGTTCATATGAACAATGAGTTCAAGAAGATAGGGAATTTTTGCTTTGTCAGACATAAATTTGCGCATAAGCTGTGGATAATTCCTCATCATAGCAATGGTTATATCACGCATAGAACTTTCAAACACGTCCTGGCGATTACAGCATAAGCATTCAAAGAATTCAGTATCCCGGAGTAGTATGGTGGAACAACACCAACATAATTTGTCATTGACAAAGAACACTTAAGAAGGAACCTTACCAAATTACCTCAAACATCATGTTCAATAGTCCAGCCATTGCAGCTTTCGGATCCTTCTCATAGTGTTCCACCCAATGCTTGGTCTTTTCTCAAACAATAGCGACTAGCTAGAAGCTCCTTTTCTAGGACAGTAAGTTTAGTCCTCCATGGTGATGATGCAACGAAGACCTTCCCCCTTCAACATTAATTCAAAAGCCTTGTAGATTTCAGAATATGGGAAGTGTATGAGTGATGAATTTCTCCAATTCAAATTCCTTATTCATGTATTTCTCAACAACAGAAGGAATATCCGAACGAGGTTTGTAGTTTCCAAAGAAGGTTCCTTTGAGAGTCCTTTCATGTAGAAAGTTCATAGGGTGTGTCTTGAACACAGCTTCCTTATGGGGTATACCAATAAGAACAGCCACTCCCCACCCCTGAAAATTAATTACGACAATGTTCATTAAGATTATTGTATAAATAAGAATATACAACTAAGGAACTATCTTTTTACACCAATAATAAAAAGATACAATACAATTCCATCCAACTTTATGGATGGAATTGGACAAAAGTAAGTTGCTATCTCACTAGACAAAAGAACAATATTTACTTTCTAAAAGATAAAGAGAGACCCAAAAGCTATAGTCAAAATATAAAACCAAGAGAAAAGATAGTCAACAATTACATACATAAAATCAGTCAGAGCAAAGTAAAGGTGAACAGATGGCCAGAACACGCACACTGGCAAATGCAAAGATCAGCTCATAATCATGGAACTTCGAAATCAAACTTACCAGTCATCCACTTCAAGAAATCCCATAAGCAAGCCCAGGGGTTGACTATTTTCTAGCTCCGAGGAGCGCTCAGCAACTGCATCTGTTTCCATGTCAAATGCAGCATACAGATCCACCGTCACATCTCCTTGCTTCTCTTCATCCATGAGATCCTTCCCAGTAGCAGCAACAATTATTCTACCTATTTTGTTAGCCTACATGAATCCAAGAGGAAAGCTAAAATAACCCACTAACCAAACAAGCACGCAAAATTTCAAGCTAAAATACCCACATTGAACAGAAGTATTCACACTAGAAAATGTTGGAACCTCATCAAGTCTTTTAGCTAAAAATGCATTGTAATGGTCAAAAGCAGCATCCTCCTTGGGAAGTAAATGTGCATAACTGAAACAAAAACCAGGTCGCCAGTAGCAATAAGTTGAATTAAATCCAATAGTCCAGGTTACCTACCAAGAGCCAACTAGAAAGCCCAATTAGGCTTTGGGCCTTTCACAACTCAAATTAATCAGTAGATGCTTTTGCTTTTGCTCAGAATAAGCAACTTCTTATATCAATAAACAAGAGTATGTAAAGATCCTACTTATTATCCCAAAAGGAGAAGACACACATAAATAGCATATTGTTTCCCTGTATTCATTTTATCAAGCTTACAAGTCTCTGCCTTTTGTTGCCTCCCTAGTGCCCTTTGACACCAATCTCAGGGAAACATCCTATTTTATTATTATATTAAATGATCTTTTAGATGATAACATTCATATCATCCTTTTACAAGCAGTATGTTGTACATAAAAGAAGCCACGAAAAAACTACACGAGATAATCTTAACTCCTTAAAAATACTTTGGTCCAACGAATAACAGTGCCTTTAATTATCTATTTTGTTTTACTATCATAATTCACATTAGTCGCCAGCATCATCAGAAGGCATCGGTATCCTATACTCTTAGTTATGTCAATGTGCAAGAGATAATAACCAAAATCACCAAGTCAAACTCTTAATTTTTTGATAAAATACACAACTTTTTCTACATTCTTTTTGACAAGGTAAATTTCTCGATTTGTGCATGTCATCCAAATTATATTTACACATAAAGAAGGTGTCCGATAAAATACACAGTTAAATTACCATCTACAGCTTGTGAAATAGATAATAAATAACAAAACCCATTTCTGCAAGAGCAACATAAAGAGAAAAAAAACCACTCAAGCACGAAGAAAGACATAATACTTGCTAGCAAGAAAGGTGGATGTTCATGCACCTTTTATGCACAACAGTTATTCAGAGCTTATTTAAAGCCTAATGTTCACTACAAAAGTTAAGTATCCTTTTTGGCACTCAAATCTTTAAAGAAATTGTAAAGCGGAGGAGGAAAAGGTGGGTTGAGGTAACCAAGTATACAGATATACTCACATGCTATCAACATAAATGAAGTCTCTTTTCACCAGCAAGGCCGTCAGCTGATAAAGTTCACTTGGAACAGGATCATTTACTTCCAGGCGTTGGTAGTATTGAAACTTAAACCCCAGAATCTGGGAGGCATGGGACTGCAAATAATGGAGAGAAAATGGAAAACAAATGCACTTTCAAGACTGGGAGAGCTCCACAAAACAAGAAAACAATAAGGCAACCACAATTATACCTTGGGAAATATGGGAATCAAGTCCAAAAATATACTATTTACCAGGCTGACGTTCAAAACACTCCAAAACCTGTATAATCACAGGCCAAAGATAGAACTGAACACTGACCTTTCAAAGGTTTAAAAGGAATGGAAGTCAAAAAATGGATTAAACAGAGTAGAAATGTACGATATCATTATGGATAAAGAACGTACAATATCAAAGACTCGGTTTGGATCCAAATCAAAGTGCCCAATCAACAACTGCATATGGTCCAAGAATTAGAAATACATAAAAATAAGATTTCAGCTACCAAAGTGCTGAGTTGAAAATAAACCTTGATTATGCCAACTGTAGCAGCTGAAGCATTATGGTTAGAACCCTCTGGAATTTGACAAAGGAGAGTGACCTACAATTACAGTCAATGGAAGGTCAAAATAAAGGAGAAAACAGAAGTTGAGCTACAAAGAAGTGGAGACGAGGAAAACATCACCAAAAGCAAGCATGAACTTCTAAAATTTGCCTAATCTAAAGAACAAACACATAGAGAACTTTGCTTTGTACAAAGCAAGAAAGGAATGGGATAATCCTTTTGCTTGGAAGGAGAAGTGTGAGTTCGGTCTTTCTTCCCTTACTTTAATCCAATGACTAAAGAAAGGGAAAGGATGAAAGTTCGCACCAGACACTCCCTTGTATCTGTAACCATCAGTGTTTAAGGGCAACCAGTTTTCATTGGACAGGCAGAAGTCCTCCAGTCACCTCCCACACTTACGTGTCATTTAGTTGCACTTAATGGGGTCTGAATCTGAATGCTTCAGATCTCGGTCCATTAAGTGCATTTGTTTTTTTGCATTTTAAAATCTCTTAATGAGGGAGGCAAGACTGAAATGATTCGGACATGCGAAGACAAGATTGCGCATATGCCCCATAGAGGAGGTGTGAGAGGTTGTCTATGGGGGTCTAAGGAGAAGTAGAGGTATGCCGAAGAAGTATCAGGCAGAGGTGAGTATATAGGACATGGAACACATACAGCTTACCGAGAACATGATCCTAAATAGGAAAATATGGAGGCCGAGGATTACAGTAGAAGGTTAGAAGGTAGTTGAGCATTGTCTAGTTTCCCTCATAACTATTATTAATATTACGCTCCTATCTTGTTCTTCGATTTTATTGTTGCATGTTTGCTTTGCTTCGGTTATCGTACTATATGTTGTTACTATTGTTCTTTTCTCCATTATTTTCGATCTCACTATTTTACTATTGTATTTCTTTTTCATACTAACTTTTATATAAAGTCATATTCTTTAATTGAGCTGAAGATCCATCGGAAACCTCTCTAGCTTCAAAAGGTAGGGGTAAGGTGCGCCTACACACTACCCTCCTCAGACACCACTTGTGGGATTACACTAGGTTTGTTGTTGTTGTTTAATGGGTCCTGAACGAACCTGAATAAATCACATTTCAGACATATTTAGAAACGCTACTTTTATTTCCTGAAAAGTTCACGCTTCTCTTTTTCTCTTCAACAGAAAATTTCATACCTCTTTTATATTCAAGAATGGTAACAGTATATTTAAAAACACTAAGGAAGTGTTATACCATATTTACAGCAACAGAATAGATCAAAAGTGATCTATCTACAGACTACCTAACATATCTAACAGAGAATCTGTATTCTCTACATGGTTTAATTTACACCAAATATAAGACAAAATGATACAATTCATCTTAACTTTTTGCATAGAATTGCATGTCTAAAAATATTCTGAGTTCCTCTCAGACCACCATATGCAAGCAGGGACCACTCCACCACTGTTTCTGTCTCACTATGTTCCCCTTGTTGTTCCAGGTTCTAGCAGATCAGCAGAATTAACAGACATAGTCCATCTACACCCCCACCAAGTTTAGGAACATAGCCACAATTGCAAGTGAAAGACAATATAAACAGATGGCCATTGGATTTTAAAGCTTTTCCACATAAAACACACCTTGAACACAATTGAAAGCCCTCTGTTCTTGAGTTTTCTTGAGTTAGGCAAGCTTCTCTAGCAACCAGATAGGAACTTTAGCCTTCCAAATACACGTCCATGGCCAATTTACAATGGATTGGCCTGCCTGTGAAAGGTTAAGATGCTCTGATTTAACAGTACAAATCCCATTCTTGTTTTTGTTCCAATAAAGAGTATTCTTCCTCCTTTTTGAAGCTTCTACGCTAAATTAAAAATCATTAATTCTCCCCAGATCCCAATCATTTAAACCTCTCCTGAAGATGATATTCCATCCATTCAATCCCCAAGCACTATCCAGATTGATGTCAGGAAGTGATGCTATAGAAAAAGAACTCAGGAAACATGTCTTTTAGTGTACCATGACCTACCCATTTATCATGCCAAAATGAAGTCCTTCTCCCATTACCCACCCTTGTACTAGTATTCATCTTAAAAGAATCGCATAGTTGCCTGCTAGCTTTCCAGACCCTGTCCCATGAGGGTTGTTGATTGGACTTGTACATCACTGATCTGTGTGGTTCTATTTTCACCAATGACTAAACTCCACAAGGCATCAAGGTCAGAATTGTACCTCCACAACCACTTCATGAGTAAGCTTTGATTATGTGCTTCTAAGTTCCTACGGTCCATCCCCCGTCCTTTTTGCTGGTAATGAGAGATTCCCAATTAACTAAGTGCATGTTCCCTATCTTCCTCACTCACGAAAGCTCTCTCTTTTAAAATTGAAAGACAAAAGTAAGAACTCCAGTTAAATAGCCATCACCCATTTTTCTCTTTTTTTCATTGCTAATTTATTTTGGATTTCACATACTGCTTCCTTTCACTTTTACTTATATACAATACTAGAAATAGATAACTTTTACTTGTCCAATTTGGAATGCGAAGAGATGATTTGTCATTTTAGACCTATTTTACATTTACTAATCATTTCATTTCCCAACATGTAGCTGACTTATAATAATTAGGGGTGATATAGCAAAATTTCCATTTTATTGAATTTAAAAGAACAATACATAATACAGGATAGTATACAAAGAGAAAAACATAATTTCCACCCGTGCTTTCAACAATAATTGAGGAAGTCAAGCCTAAAATTTATATATAATCTCAAACTGCAATAATAAAAACTACAGAACATTAGTCCAACTAGAAGACCACAACTTCCATTCCTCCTTTCAACATAATAAAATTTCAGAATGACACGCAAACTAGAAGACCATAATCTCCACTGTGCTTTCACCAATAATCTAGAAACAAAGCCTTCTGTAGATTCTCAAATCAAATTAAAACATCAAAACTATTGTAACAAAACCTACAAAACAGCAGACAAAATTTATAATACCAATTAAACACTGATGAGCATTTCTAGCAGAAGTGCCTCCTAAAGCCTTACTCGGACGATTCTTCTCTCTCTTCCTCATTCACAGTGTTGTGTAATTGCCCTTCGTTAACCCTAGTTTGAGTTCTCATTCGTTTTTGTACACGATTAACTCAATAATTACGTCTCAACTATTAACTTAATCAGTTGAATACGTTGAAATAAAAAACCAAACTCACCATACAACAGATTCGCTGTTTCCAACACTCCTCCGAGAATTGCTGTTGCTGTAAGCCCTAGAAACCGAAGCAAAAAAGCGTGAATTATACAGAAGAACGAGACGGTGAGAAAATGCAGAGAATCGCTGTTTCCGACTCACCATACGACGATTGCTGTTTGCGACACCACTGGTTCATCCTCCGTGAATTGATGTTGCTGTAAGCCCTAGAAACCGAAGCAAAGCTCAGAAAATTTTCGAAACCCACCAAGAGAGAAACCCTATATAAAAAACCAAACTCACCATAGGACGATTCGTTGTTTCCGACACCACTGGTTCCTCCACAATAGCACCAGAGTTTTCAGAATCCTCGAACGATTCTTCTCTCTCTTCCTCATTCACACTGCTGAGTAATTGCTCTTCTTTAACCCTAGTTTGAGTTCTTGTTCGTTTCTGTACACGATTAACCCAATAATTGGGTCTCAACTATTGACTTAATCAGTTGAATACTGTTGAAATAAAAAACCAAACTCACCATACAACAGATTCGCTGTTTCCAACACTCCTCCGAGAATTGCTGTTGCTGTAAGCCCTAGAAACCGAAACAAAAAAGCGTGAATTATACAGAAGAACGAGACGGTGAGAAAATGCAGAGAATCGCTGTTTCGACTCACCATAAGTATAAAAGATTTTTAAAATCTATAAATTAATTGACAGGTAAAAATTACATGAAGGGAAGAGAAATTGAAGGATGGGTTACGTGTGTGAGATAATAAGTAAATTAATTTTATTGGAATGAAGTTTTAAAAATATTTGATATTTAAATATTATTTTTATAGCTATATCAACTATACTTTTAGTTTTATAATATATTATGTTGAAAACTTTCTAAGGATAATATTAATTTTATGATTATTTTACATGGATTAAACATCAAATACTTTATACATTTTTACGTGTTTGTCCTTTATTATTTTATAAAGTTTGAACTAAATTATTATTTTTTGTTTAACAATTTACTAATTCAACACTCCACATGAAATATTTAATATCAGGTGAATAAATGATATATTGATAGATTTAACTAATATTTTATTCAAAATCAAAAGATTCAAAATATTCTTTACTATTTTAAATTTGCGTAAATTATAGTAGAAAATGATTTAAAGATAAAAATAATCTTAATTAATACAATCGCTATATTAGGTTTACTCAAACTGTTTATTAGATATTTTAAAATTTGATTTGAACTATATCATGAAAATATGAATATTTATGAAAAGGGTGTCACGTTGATTTGAACTTTATCTGGTGAAGCATATTATGTGTAACTATAGTTATCATGAAATCAAATATTTTAAATTTCAAATTAAAAATTATATCATATATGTTAAAATCATAATTTTGAACTTGAATTAATGTTATTATATAACGTTGTGAACAATCTTAAATTTATTAAATGGCTTATAATTGTGATATTGTTCAGCATAGAATTTAACGTGTCGCTAACCAAAACGAGAACCTCCTAGGTGGGCGAACCAACAAATCCAACCCAACTTATATTAATTGTTCAAATTACGAAATACTAACCATAATGCGGAAGCTTAGATCTTATTAATATAATAAGAAATACAAATCCACTAGCGTCTATTAAATATCGTTTCCCAAAACCTGAAAGTCATCACATCGAGGACATCTAATCTCCAATTACTAAGTCTAACAGTATCAAAGACAACAGGATGAATAAATAAAATAGTTTATGTCCAAAAACTAAGGACACCATGCCATGGCTGAGAGAATCCAACACGAGCTAGAATGAATAGCTCACCCTGGAACTTGAGGTGGTGGAAACTGGCTAGAGTTGAG